ATTTTTACACGTTTCAGAAGATTCTAAAACTTTTTTTTCGAAAAAAAATTTTTTCGTCCGAATTCTGCAATCCGGGACCACTCTTTTTTTGGCGTTTTTACACGTTTCAGAAGATTCGAAGGCTTTTTTTTCCCCAAAAGAAAATTTTTTCGTCCGAATTCTACGTTCATGGACCACTTTTTTTGCATTTTTACACGTTTCAGAAGATTCTAAAACTTTTTGTTTCGAAAAAAAATTTTTTCCGTCCGAATTCTACCTTCCTTGTCCACTCTTTTTAGGCGTTTTTACACGTTTCAGAAAATTCTAAAACTTTTTTTTCCCCAAAAAAAATTTTATCGTCCGAATTCTACCATCCGGGACCACTCTTTTTTTGCATCTTTACACGTTTCAGAAGATTCTAAGACTTTTTTTTCCCCAAAAAATTTTTTTCGTCCGAATTCTAGCATCCTGGACCACTCTTTTTTTGCATGAAATTTTTTTGCTCAAATTGCACGCCATGCCTGTGCAAGTACGGTATTGTAGGCGTTGCAGAATGCATCTTTGACTCTTCTTTTCAGAAATACTGTAGGTCGATACACACTGCTTCTAACTGCCATAATATACTGATTCTCATCCAATCCCACAAGATTCAGAAAATCGTCAAAGCTGACATCAGGACTTTTTCAGTCCAGAGATGTTCCACATTTTCCTTAATGCTAGTTAGATCACTTGCAGCCTTAATTTTCAAGCTTGGACAGAAGTCGGAATGGAATGGTAAGAGAATTCTTGTACTTGGCATTGGTGGGTATGGCATACCGAAACGACACTTTGTACTCCCTTTAAATTTTCTTTCACAACAATTTGTGTGCTTATGTCCTTGATGGATAACTCCATCGACTTCAGCTTCGCAAGAAATATATTTATCGATGAACCCCGCACATCTGCCGAAAGAATCAGGATCATGTTCATCGAATTTAGGAGAATCCTTCAACCAGAAAAGTCCATGCATATGAGGACTTCCACGATGCTGGAATTCGATTCGGCTGAAACTGTCCATGATTGGATGATCTTTGAAAATTCCTTCCTTGTTAAGTAAGATATATTTCGTGCACTGTCTTAAACGGTAATCAAAGTATCGGCTGCAAGTTATGGGGTCTTTTCTTATCAAATCTGCTTTTGATTCCCATGTCATATCTTCGGCATCAGCCTCTGAAATCAGGACCCCATCCAGCACCTGCTTCAGTATAACGATCAGTTCTGGCCATTTCATTTCCGCTGCTGATAGTGTAATAAACAAGGTTGGGATTCCTAATTGTCGAATCATTGCCATAAGCGTCTTCTGTTTATCTTGCCAATAGGCTGGTGACGATCGAATATTTTTCAAAAGTTTATAACCGTCATCGTGATTACACAAATTCTCGACAAATTCTTCGTTCAACAAATTACCAGCCGTTGCTTTCCCGGGACCTTTTTTCTTTCTCAGACAAAGGGAAATCTGGCTTGAAATCTGGAAGGCTTGACTCAATTTGAACGAATAAAGAAGCTTATTGGGAGCGGCACACCGTCTGTCCCGATTTCGTGCATCTGACTTTGCTATATCCGTCTTAGAGATGTTATCCAACTTCATCTTACGGGGAACACCTCCATAGATTGAAGGATATGATAAAGCTTCAGCGTTGGCGTCTAATATTAGTGACTTGGGTTTCTGGCCTTCACCAGGAGCGAATCGGATGACTTCATTATTTTGCATGTCGTCAAAATCAATCAATAGAGTTTGCTGGCCACCGGGATTAAGCTGCGCATCATTCTCTGCATCTTGTTGCTCCAGTTGTGGCAAAATTTGATTTGGAATTGGATCAACGACAAAGTTCGCTACGTCTTTATCCATAAACTTTAATCAGTCATCAGAAAGAATGATACCCTCATCCTTGTATAACTTGGTTTGTGCTAAATACTTCGCGGCCTCATAGACTTTCTTTGGGCGGATAGTTTCGTACAGGTAGGGTTTGGTATATTCCATCTTACGCATCAGCATTAATTGTATCACCGAAGCTTCGTTAAATCGTCTTGGGAGGATTGCAGCTGTTTCACTGACTGGATTGACAATATTGATGACGTTACCCTTCAGACCACACTGACGGTCGACTCCCAACTTCTGAATCGCCATAAATGGGATTCTGCCAGCTACAAGGCGTTCCTCCAATTGCGTTAAACCTTTCAGAACGTCGGGAATTATGGGGAAGGCAAACCCGTTAGAGAAGCACAATTTTGGGATCTTTCCTTTGCGTATATAGCTATGACAGGTTGTACAAAGAAATTCGGTTTCCAGAGATTGTGGTCGAAGTGCCTTATTGTTAATTTAAACTTAAAATATAAGTATGCTAATAGATAGGTTAAATAAAAAAAAGCTACCTGAGCACAGAATGTCAAGTTAAATTGTTCCATCAAAAGTTTGCGGTGAAGTTTTCGAACTGACGATTCGAAAAACAGCCCATCACAACTTTCGCATGGTATTGTCGGACCTTTCTTAATAGCAGTAAGGAAATCCAAAAGCTGTGGGTTTTGACGCTTTATCTTACGTGCTTGAGTATCTCTAAGCTGCTCGGCCTCCCGTCTTTCCACCTGACCTCTGACTATCCTCCTGGCGCGCGAGTCATTATGTTGTTCCGCCTTCCTCCTCTCTTCATCCAGTCTGAACAGACGTCGCGCCTCAGAATCGGCAAGTTGTTCCGCCTTCCTCCTCTCTTCATCCAGTCTGACCAGACGTCGCGCCTCAGAATTGGCAAGTCGTTCCGCCTCCATCTTTCGCGCATTCGCTCTAGTTGTCCTTTTCGCAGCTGAATCAGCTTGACGTTCCGCTTCCCTCGTCGTATCGTCTCTTCGAGCTTTCTTTCGAGACTCCCTAGATTCATAAATACAACTTTGACAAATAAACAACATATAAACCCTAACTATCGGATACTACTCACGTGTTAATAGCTTGCTCCGCAGTTCGAAAAATTTCGTCATCGCGCTTCCTCCGCTTAATTTCTGCTAGTTGCGCTTGCGACTGCTTCTTTAACTTTGGCATGATGATGATGATGACATGAAATCCTCAGTTATTCTTACGAATTACAGTTTTTACGAATCATATTTAATTTGGAACTGGAAATCAATAAAGTAGCAATCTCTCTTAGCAACCCCTTAGCAAATTGCATCATAATTAGAAAATGTATAGGTCAACCCATGCGGCACCCAATTCAAAAATTTTTCAAATTTCAGTTCAAATTTATTTATTAGAAACCTTTAGTATGGTATACACCCAATTTCATCCACATCCGATGACTATGAAATATCGGTATGGGTCACCCACCAGGGTCCCTCCTGATAAAAATTTATCGAATTTCACTTCATATTCTTTCATCACAAGCCGTTAGCTACTGCTGTACCAAATTTCAGCTTTCTACGACTACTTCGAATTTCCGGCACCCTTGACCCACACCACTAAAATCACCCCCACCGGTCAACCACTGAACCGATTTGGCTCATCTTCGAACTCGAACTGTGTTTTGACATGGTATACATGTGTGCAAAATTTCAAGTCGATCGGATAAGTTTAAAAAGAGTTATCGTTAGACGGACAGACGGACGGACGGACAGACGGACGGACGGACGGACAGACAGACATCACGGGTACATAAGCCCTGGGTCGGGCTAAAAAGTTATCAAAAAGATATCATAAGCAATTTCTTTTTCCATTTATAAACATAATTGGGTATGAACCTATGTTACTCTGTGCATAGTAAAAAAAACAATAGATAAACGACAAGAAATTTAATTGCAAAAAGCTAAATATATTGGAGAAGTCGTCCAATCTCAATAAAATTTGATGACTTAATCCTCAATAAAAAATATCATAAGCGTTAATTGGGCACTGGTAAAGTATAATTTACTTTTTGTGTGTACATAAGGGTATGAGGTTTTATCACTATTTGTTATGAACAAACAATCTAAAATAAATAATTTACGAGATTTAAAAAAGGTCAAGCTTGATGTTCTGTACACACGCCTATAAAAATTCCAGTGGTCATTTTTCAGTTACGTCTGTCACATTTGAGCTACGCATGTATCTTACAAATCATGGCAATCCAGGTAACACTTTCTTTGTCAATCTCTCTCCCCAATATTCTTTTTGTACTGGAACAAGTCCATGGCGACACCAAACCATGCGCATTAATAACATGTATTTACCTTACATGGCTACATAGATCTTCTCTTAAAACGTAACCCAATTTTTAGACGTATCTTCCCGTCTGTCTTCTGCTATTGTGCAGTACAGGCTGTACTGCACAATAGCAGAAGAGGGTTGGTAATCCGACCGGATCGGATATCCGGCGGATTATCCGAAATTATCCGCCATATAACTATTAACATTGATCCGACGGATCATCCGACCTTATCATCCGATCGGATTATCCGATGGCCCAACGTTAATAGTTATGGGCGGATTTCGGATATCCGGCGGATCGGATTTGGTCGGATATCATCGGATACGGATTACCAACCCTAAGTACAGCTATTCTACACTGGAGGCAATAAATCATATCATACCTATGTCCATTTCCTATCCCTGTCATGTTCACTTTTGAAACACGACGTACATACATACTTCATCACATCACAGCAAAAAATATAGATAAAATGGAGTCCTACGTTGTGAAACCATTGTGTTAAAGACTGCGTAATACTAGTGTCATACACAAGCTAATATAGAATTAAGGTATTTTTCAGAAAGTTTGATAAGAGAAAGTTCTAGACAAAGACAAACTAATGGTTGTTTGTTAGATATTGTCACTGGGAAAGTTGTGCAAGTGTGTGAGACATAATTTTATATGTAAAACTGGATAGATCATAATTTGGTAAGTGACACATTTTCATCGTTTTTGATAAACGAATACACCCCGCAATTAGGAAATGAGATTATCTATGAATACTAGTTAGGAATTTGGAATAATGTGTACCAATAATACACACCTGGAATATGCACATATATACCTCAATAACTAACATTTATTTATTTTACAATCGTAATCACAACAATTGATATTTAAACAATAGTTCTAAAGCGTTTTACATAAAAACTAAGTAGCATAAGTTGAGACATACATTTGTAATTGAAACCTTAATGACAGACAACAGGTAATATTAACGGAAATGCTATTGTTTCTTCTTACGTATAAACAGAGGTTAACAATTATTGCAAAAACTGATAGATACTCTGCTTAATAAAGTAAAGCATGAATATATTCAATATTTGTGAGCACTTGAGATACAAAAAGCGAAATAAATATATGATATTTAGTTTAGATTTTAGACTTTCGAATTAATCTGTTATATCGGTAAGGGATAACAATTCATACACGTGTAAATGACAATGATTTCGGTTGGAATTAAATAATTCTGAAGATTTTAGGACGTTTTGTTCAAATAGCAACCTCATACGAACTGAGATTTCTAATACACTGAGAGAATGTATTCAATATGTTTTCACATAATAAAATAGTTACATATCGTCGTACTAATTCATAAAAGACCTATGTGCAGTCGATGTTGAATTAAGAAAAGACCTAAGTGCAGTCGACACTTAATTAAGAAAAGACCTATCTACTTATGGGACAGTGGAAATTTTTAACATGGGAAGGATGCATCTTGTGCGTGTTAAAAATTTCCACTGTCCCATAAGTAGATAGGTCTTTTCTTAATTAAGTGTCGACTGCACTTAGGTCTTTTCTTAATTCAACATCGACTGCACATAGGTCTTTTATGAATTAGTACGACGATATGTATGTATATCATCATAACCATTTAATACATAATGTATGTATGTAATACTGTACATCGTCGTTGTAATTCTAAATGGAAGGATGGATCTTGTGTATGTTAAAAATTTCCACTATCCCATAAGTAGATAGGAATTTTTAAAATTAAGCATCGACTGCACTTAGGGCTATTTAGAATTAGAACGACGACATACTATTTATGTGCTACATAATCACATTTGCATACAATATTTCTTTCGTAAACACTTCAGATCTCAACATATAACTAATAAGTGGATAATACCTAAACAGACTCTTATTCAAATAAGTTATTGATACATGTGCACATACATACATAATTCATAATGCAAGCTACACTGTTTCACTAAATAGATAACGTTTGAGAAGATGAGTTTCTTTCTTTAACAAGGCATAATTATGTCATTTCAAAATTATAAATAAAATTACCAACCTATAGTGGATGATATTCATTTAATTGATTGTTTACCGATTACATATAATCAATCTGTAATCAATTATGAAATTCGTTGGTAATACTTACATTAGCACAAGTACAGTAAATAGGTGTTAAAGTAAACTTTTCTTACCGCAAGTGAAAAACTGCATTGCATAGGTTTCCCCCGTTTTCCAAATATGTATGTTAATTAAATATATATTTAAATATGAAGATATAAAAGCGACCTGGTAACATTTCCTATAATTCTTACATATGTTTGTATATAGGAGTAGAAGCTGCTTTAAAAAATACATACATATTATGTATATCACTATTCGAATATTATGCTATTATTTTTTCTCGTGAAGGGTTTCCAGACTTTTGAATTAGATATATCACTAGAAATTGTTCGCCAACTTAGAGAAGGCACCGTCTTCAAATCAGTTAGTAATTTCAAAATAGTATAATTTTGTTTCTTTCTATCATTTACCCACTGTTTGTTATCTGGTCACCGGATAAGTATACATACAAATATATATCATTTTATATGCTAAGAGTAAAAGTTATTAAGGAATCATAAAAAAAGATAGAACCTCTTAACAACATCTATCATCAATTGAAATTCGGAATTATTTTTCATTGCAATTAAAAAAATCGGAATATCATCCATCCTATTCTGCCTTACGTATCTAATAATTATGTATATACCTACATATATGTATACATAGACTACTTTTCTGTCTCAATGATTCCAATATTTTCCTCTTAATCACAATAATTTCCTACACACCATACTTGTCAGACCCAGAAACAGGTCGCTTCTATTTTAGGCAAGAGGCTCGGAATATTTTTCTTATCTAGTTCTACCACGTCGACATAACCTTCCGCTTTTGTGTCACCCAGGTCGCAATTCTGAGTCCCAAAGTGACACGGAGTGACCAAATCTACTTCACACCGCTCGACAATAGTTTCAAATGCATTATCTCCATGTCCATGAAATATATCCCGTTGTGAGCAGATAAAGATAGCCTGGCGTTTCTGCAGATTAGCCGGAACCCAAAGTTCTTGTTTATAGATTCCGGTGGTCTTATCATACGATGAACTCCACGTAAATCCGTCCCTCATAGGAGCACACTATAAGTGTATAAAATTATAAATCAATTGCACAATACAATACATATATTGCACGTCCCTAATTATACATAATAAATGTAATAGTTACTTGTTTCATATCATTCGTCATTTCCATGATAACGGGAAATTTTGGATCTGGCGATTTTAAGATAAAATTCAGTATTTCGTCCTCATTATGTAGTTTCAATTTCCGGTCCCGAATATGAAATCGATGTGAGAGCCCCGGTCCTAGCGGGTCATAGTCGAGGTCACCCACTAAACCAATGGAAGTCTTGACCTGACTGTCAGCAAAATATTTTTGTGCGGCGACAGTAATGAAAATTCCACACAGCATGAGGATAATTGTCGGTCCAAGATTTCCCATTTTCTTAAAGGGGATCTACAAAAAGTAACAATTCTGTGAACGTACTTCGTGACAAATTTGACTAAATATTTGTTAAATAAATGGAAATATGCTGAATGTGAACATTATTTGTTTACAGACGAAGAAAAAATTAGGAGTATCTCATTCTAACAAATTTATGCACCTTGCATACATATTCAAATTTATAAAATTAGAGAATACGGTTAAGTTTGCAGAAATAAAAAACGCTTCTATGCTCACCAACTTACTTTGGTTCTTTTATCCTTGTCGTAATCTTCCCAATTATATTTCCTTACTTGATCGGTGAAGAGACAACTAATCGATAATAGATGAACTTGCAAATCACAAAAATATATGATCAATATCTATCAGGCAAATTTGTGTACGTACAACAATAATTTGCCTATTAAAATTGAACTCTGATTAAGCACAAACTAAAGACGAAGGTACTGGAATAAAGTGACAGCTAGTAAAATTGATTGGAAAAAAGTTACGGAAATTATGCATAATCTTAATTATAATGACTCTTAGAGCCAATTCTAATTTGCAATTGCGTAAGAGTTGGAGTTATTGATCTTGTACCTTATTTTGCCCTTGATATCCCCTCCAGACACTAAATAACACCAACTTTACAGCCTTATCTATTAATTTATTAACACAGAATATTTAGTTACTTAATTCATCATTTAATTTCAAAATGATGAAGTTGCAAGAAACTATGATTTTTAATAGAATCATAACCTTAATTAAATGTTGAAATATGATTTCCAGAATTTTCTTGCCGGCGTGTTTGCTTTTGAGAAAACCACCATGATACAATAATGGATAAAAAATTATTCAATGATTCCAGTTTTTAGTGTGCAATTTGAGAACATCACAACCAGTGAAATTAATACGATTTTCAGATTATTATCCGAAATAAGTAATTTTGACATGACTCCCGTCCTATAACACTGACGTACACATCTGCAAAATGTGATGCAGAAAGTTTGAACAACTTGCATGAAATCGCACTCTTATGAACGAAGAATCCAGATTTTGCGTGACATTGCAAATATAATTTCAATTTCGCAAAAAAAATCCCATGGTTTGTCACATTCTATTAAAAATACAATTTTCAATTACTTACCTAGATGGTTTAAGGGAAATTGTTATAAAGAAATACATATACGCCCCGACATGAAATCATTCTTCATGCATGCACCTCTCTGCTGGAAAGGAATCACATGAGTCATACATATGTACATGCACATAAAAGCGTACTACATATATGAAAAAAATTGCAAATTTTCATTTACTCTATGAAATACTTATTTTTTGCGAAAACTAAACATCTCATTATTCTTGGGAAGGTGATAGGAAATGATGTAAAAAATGAATTTGTGATGATAATCACTCTTCAGTAAATATAATTTAAATATATGTATACTTGATATTTGCTTAAAATGCAGGAAAGCTATAGATCTAAAAGTGCATATACATATATATTTTCGATTGTAAACTAATAATTTTGTCCAAATTATCATATAAGTTGAACCTTGTGAATTTTCACAATTTTTAAAACTTACTTTACTTCCTTACTTTAAATCGTGCTAAATGTACGACACAATTTAAAGCAATTCATAAAACATTGTTTAGACGGAGCATGTTGAAAATCACATTTTATTGATTGTATATAATTATATAAAAAACATAAATATTTGGTGTCAAGAGTTTTAAAACTATTTTTCACAACGCTAAGTTTAGCTACGACATGTTCGGACTATTTAAAGCCTATGAAGAGGAAGCTCATTTTACAGCAATAATAGTAGATATACAATTAGAGATGGGAAAATTTATATAAGTTTATATAATTCTTAAGAAAATACACCTTATTGATAGTCCTAGATATCAGATACACGAAGTGCATTGTACACATTTTCTGGAATCGAAACGACGTCAGAACATATATATTGTGGTATCATTTGACATTTTGATACAAGTCTTAACAACTCCACCAATTATCTAACTCTTACCGGAACTTCTATAACATTAATATTTTATGTTTTATGAGGTAATAATAATGTAGCATAGTTAGATCAAATTCCTAATAAATTATATTTAGTGAGAAACTGTAGTTAATAATTTTAAAAAGTGTACAACCACTTCCACACAAATAATAAATTATTATATAACTCTATTCCTCACTTATATACATAATAAAATTAATATAATTAAATTAAACTGCTAAGGGAGACACATTCAAGAACAAATTCTGATACTTAGAAATACTGGCAATTGCATTGAAGTAACGAGTATTTAAGAAAAAGCGAGATTTCGGAATTTGCTAGATGTCTACTAAAATACAGATTTGCATATCTAGATAAGTAAATATAATAAGATTCGAGAGAGATTTCATAAATAACAAATTCGTCCTATGTACATTTAATAATTATCTTTTAGTCTTTGGAAGGACTACAGATCCTCATTTGGAAAAGTGTACATCCGCTGAAAAATAAACAGCAATTCTTCGACAAGAGTTACATACATACTTCCTTCCATACATCTTTTTAACAATGTGTCAGTCCTATTTCTATTTTCGATTGTTTTCCTCTCCAGGAAATGATAGTTCTTGGGAAGAACAATACTTTACACCACATTGTCTAAATCCTTATACTCTTCTAAATAATGACTCACTGAATATTCAATAATGATTGATCACAAACTGAACTAGGATTTGTTTTCGACCCCATCTTTTTCCCTGTTAACAATCGCAATTTTTTTTTCAAATCGCTAATTGCTTCACAAATATATTTATTTACAACCTATTTACTTCTAAGATAGATTAACTCACGATTTTAAATGCCTTAAATAAAAATAAATACGAATATGAGACCTTATTTTTGGAAAACTTTAAAGTAACATTACGTAAGTTGAGGTATTTGGTGATTTGTCGATCTAACATCTCTGACATAGTTGTTCCCAATATGAACACTTAAGTGTTCACATTTAATTATTGCTTGAGGAGATTTAGGAAAGGTAAAATCTCACTTTTCGGTATAATTTGCACGGAGTGATTCCTTCACTCCAACAATACCAAATTAAAACGAGGCCACTTAACATGATTACGATCACAATCACAATTAAACCCCAGCCTAGCCAAGCTATCTGAGACTCTGAAATTAAAATCAACAAATGCATTAAATATATTCCATTTTATAATGTTAAAATTTTATGTTATTCAGCACAAATTTAGACCGTGCTTCCAATGCATTTTATTTTATTTTGTGTACCAAGTTCAACCGTGCTTTCTCTAGACCGAACCATGACAAGATTAGAAAGTCCTCCATCCCCACCTGCGGATAGATTGAATGATGTGATGGGTGCGGTCAGGTTCAGTTGGAATTTGCCATCCACCGTTTCCACCGTCGTGTCGTTCTGCATAAATAGTTTGGAAATAATTTTATAAGATTATTTTTACGTATGTGAGCCAATTTGGTAAATATGTCGCACTCTTACCCCGTCTTCCCTCCTCAAAAATACTTCGGCATCCAAATCGCCTATAACAGACCCCGTAACGGGAGAGAATTCTTGGCCCTTGACATAATCAATGTAGACGACACCGTCAGAATCGGCGTCGTAACCCTCAAGTTTTACTTGGGGCACTGGCTTCACTAAGAAGTAAATAAACACAAACTTAAGTATTAACCATTATTAAATTAGAATAGGATAGATAGAATTATTTATATATTCTATTAGAATAAAATCGAATTATTAAATACACAGAATAAATAATTTATTCTGTATATTTGTTCAATAAATACTGCATTTTTAGATAAACAAATATTAAAAAAGTATCACTTATTACCATCACCAACATTTCAAAATCCCAATTGGCGACTATCTACATATGTATCATGTGTACATATATGTATGTACATATGTATCTTTGCAAAAGCTAGCTGAGAAAATATACATATGTAATCTTACTCTTAAAAATCACCCTTTTGGTGACCACATCCTCAAAATATGAGTAGACGATAAGTTCACACTCCATGCGAACCCCACCAGTGCCACGATCTCCGGCAAATCGGATGATTGTCTCTGTAGTGACATCGTGGCTGATGGGATCGGTGACTTTGCTGGATATAACATCTACATAAATTACAAGCTTAATTAGTCTACGAAATTATTCAAACTATATTCTTTGGTAAGATTCATATCAGACCAACCTTGGACTTTAAGTTCCCCTATACATTTGGCTATGGGGTTGAAATACAATCCATACACCCATGGGTCATGCTTTAACCAAAATGTCATAGTGTTTCCCTCCTGTCGTATTGAGTTTTCAATGACTCTAACAGAATTGTCGGATTTTTTTGCATCACCAAATTCTGTACAAGTATTATTCACATTCTTAATTAGTGGCATCATCATTTGCATATATGTATTTATGAGCCTAACCTGGTTTCCAGGATCCATTCCTGAAATAATACGGCCTCACCACAAATCCGTATTCTCCATTGGTGAAAGCGAACGAGCCTCCACCACTGTTGGACAAGGGGAAAGTTTCCTTTCCCCAGTGTTGCGAAAAATTTTTGTAACAATATGGTTGGTTAAGGGTGGTGGAAGTGTTATCACACTTTTTCATAAGGATGAATGCAGATTCATCCTAAATATTTACATTCGTTTGAGGCACCAATTTTTACAATTACATACTTCATTTCCTTCGTTCATTAATTTAATTACCAAAATGATTGAAACAGTATTTTCATACTGGAGTCTATTGACTCTGGTATATCCTTGATTTGCGTAAAACATAAAATCCTCTATGCCTTGTCTATAATTGTAGTATAGAATTGGCAACGTTGCATTTCTTTCCTTTCCTGGAGAAAATTTAAATCAAAATTAATATCCTTAGATAGGCAGCTTCTACAACACGTCTTGTCAACAATGCATAGCTACATACATACCAGTACCATTAATTGCGTCTCTTAATCCGACACAGTCGTCCAGTTTCTGGGTTAAGTTTTTAATTACATTGTCATCCAGGAATTCTGCGACTACCTCTCCGACGGCATTTAGATCTCTTTGTCCGCTGCATCTCTCATCAACCTCGTCTTCTTCTGATGTGCTTTCATATTCATAAACCATTGAAGAACGATTAATGTCCTTATGCAGGCATGATTTAGAGTAAATATGGATACAATATTCAAAGTAGCCCATCCTTGTGGTCCGAACATTTCCTCTTGGACACACTAGGAAGAGGTGATCAGAGTTAAGGTCTAATGTCACGTGTATCTCTTGATAGAAGTAATGCGTATCGTTTGCAGTCTTTTTTGTTGTAAAGTAGGACGAATCTTGAATGTCCAGTGGGGCTTGCAGGCACTGAAAAAATGGACAATATTTTTCTTAGAAACTTATTCTGCAACAGTATTTCTGATTTTACTTATATACATAGAAATACGTATAATAAATATTTCATTTTTGCTTTCAGAGTTATTATATACAAATAATTTATAAAAGTGTGACATTAATTAAATAAACTTGAGAGAGAAAGTGCATATAATAACCATAAAAATACAGATTTTACAAACCTGCTCAGGGTTGATGCTAATTGCTTTCACTACCACAGGATTATCGCTTATGAGGGTTAATTCGAAATCCTTGAAAATGGAATATCGAACGGAAAAAGGTTGTGTTGGTTTTCCAGGAATTAATTCCACGCATTTGTCCCCATCGCTTTGTGACAGATACAAGACGGGCAGGTTTCGTTGGTCAGTCTTTTCGGAAGTTGTCTTTTTGGGATGGCAGTGTACATATTGGAGGACAGACATAATGATCATAAGGGAGAAAAAGGCATATCCCCTTTGATACAAGTTCATGTTGACCAGTTATCTGAAGAAGAAGAAAATTTTATGTAGATGAACGGATTTTATAATTCAATAATACAAAAATTCGCGAAAATTGAGATACTTAATTGTGCAAATTATGTAGTGACCCTCAGTACATACATACATTGAATAGTTGGACAAGTATATATATATACATACATCTCATTAACTTGTTTGTCAAAATTTTGATTAAGGTCTGAGATAGATAAGTTTATAGCATTCAGTATATGTATGTATACATATAACCACTAATTTTAAACCACAAAATACTTGTTTCAAAAATTGACGACGAAAATTATGTAAACAACATATAAAAATATGTGAACCAAATAAATCTTCACCTTCTCCACCAAAAATTGCTGCACGACATGCATACTATTTAATTCACTACGTGCTTTAAAAGCTTGGCTTGAATTTAAGTAATGGCTTGTTAGCCATTACTTAAATTTTGTGAATGAACGTGATACACTTACATTGTTTTACAAAATTGGGTTATCAATTAATTTCACTAAGATTGTTTCCAAGACTTGTAAAAATATCGATGCAGCTTATGTATCAAAATATGCTTTCACGAGAATAAGTTATCTCTATTTAAGCTCTATTCAGATAACCATCAGATAGAGGATCATCTATCACAGACACACACTTTTACAATTTTTACTTTAATTAGCAGAGTAAAATTAAGTTCTTGGCTGCATAAACCTGCATAAACTGAATTTATTTTTATTTTGTTAAAGTTGCTGGGAATATTAACTAATATTCAGAAGTGAACAGGACTCTTTACAGCCTCTCCAATTTATTCACCATGTACTAAATTGTTGTATCGTTTCATAAAACACATTTGAATCCTTAAAAAACAATTCCATAAAAGAAATAATATTTTCAAAACTTTTTCTGTCGTTGCATCCTGATTACTTTTAAAAAGTGCGATAAAAAGTCCGAACTGAATGACGCAACAGGTTCTCTATGAATAATATGAAGAAAGTCGTTAGTGAAAGTTCAACTTTCTCCTCTTTTATTTGCTTGATTTTAACAATAGATTTAAAATATTACTGCATAACAGAATTATGCCAGCAACAAATTATTGACACAGAGGACCATTAAATTAAAAACTGTCAAAAAGGGATGGAAGGTAGAATCACGTGTAAACTAAAAATCAGATTTTCATGCACAACGTAATGAATACATTATTAGTCATCACGACTGATGTTTGAGTTTGGTATCTCCTCCTTACAGGAAGAAAGACCCTCTAGAATCTTGGTCCCAGATAAATAAACATATGCAAAATGCATGCCTACCATAGATAGAAAATGTTTAGGTTTCATAAACGCAACAGATATTTTTTGCGTAACCACTTAGGATCAGTGCCGGCAAAAAGCTACAATTTTATTGGAGGAGACATGAACTTTCCATGATTTTTCTTGCCAGAAGGGCATCCAAGAGATTGTGCTTGGTATAAATTATAGGATTAATTTATTTTTCCTTAATTTACCGTATTTTTGTGCATACATGTAGATGTGTTTGTTCAGCAATAATTTACATATAAATTTTTATTAAGTTTTAATTTAAAAAGGATGCTCTCTCAGCAAATTGAGTACATGTACGTGAAGCCCACAATGGATGCAAAATACATGGCTGTCTTCTTTGTTCATATTTGCAAATGATTAATCCTTTTGGAGGGAAAGTCTCGTGCAAATCATCGTAACATGCAAAAATATTGCTAAACGTTTGCATATGAAATGAACATATATGTATAAAAAAATATGTATGTATTTTATTTTGACAATGTTTTAGATAGATAGTGGAGCCTATACAGGCAGATTTGGACGATTTTAATACGGCTTACGCTATTTTATTAACTTTCGGATTAATATATTTCGCACAAATTTAATTAAATTTCATGGTAGAAAAACCCGTTCATAAGATCACAGCAAATAAATAGTTTCATTATTATCCAATCGGATTTTAGCTTTAGTTTTACGTTGTTTGCGAAATTCTCATCCAACAAATTGCACGGAGATGATCCACATATCAAAATGCTTCGAATGAGTTGCTTCACCTACTTAAAAATAAAAACACAAAAGCCACAATTTCCTTTGAGTGTTTATGTCCGAGGTCAAAAGAATTTATTCTTTGACTTAGGTGAAATTTCTTCAAAATTAGCTTAACAACAATAAGTCTTTAGGTGTCTCTTTACTAGTCTTTACCAAATTCCAGGTGCTTATCTTTTTCCTTGGTCGGTCGAGATTAATGGGCAGTATGGAGTAAAACTCAATAATTTAGTTTCCTCGGTTTTCCTAATACTCTACAAAATATGTACAGGGCAAAAAGTATATTTCTAGAATATAAGAAAATGAATATTCTAACATGACTACTTCACAAGTATATAATTGTATTTAACTTATTTATTTGTTTACCACCTCAATTCCCTTTCATATCAAGATCTACATAGGTTTGTTGAAATCCATGCGTGTTCTTCATCTTTGTAAATTAAACTCACTTAGATTACTGTCATTTTGTACTCATGCAGTAATAATCCTGACAAATGTCATATTCAAATATTTAGTGATATTTTTAAATATTATCAAATAATACATGGTTGTATTTACATACTTACTACCTGTTATTTTATCCCGACCGATGCAGTTGATACAGACATATTAAAGTTTTCCAAATCAGGCAATAACCCCTTAAGTTGTGTCTCCAGGTGAAACTCCTAAATGCATAAATAAATATACTTAATAAGAATATCAGAAGCTTGATGTTTTAATTCTTATCAACTTTTAGGGATACCTGATTGCAAGACGCCGTCAAATTAGATACATAATCATTTATCAGTTATTGCTATATTAAAAGCCAACAGATGAGACGATTTCATTAAGTGTTGGATTGATACATTATAAAATGTTAACCAAGTTCTATATTTATCTGCATTTTTTACTGTTCATATAAATCAACTGGTGTTCAGAAATATTTACATTGTTTTACTTTTGCCCATAGCTATTCAATTAAACATTTGATGATCAGTTAAAAAAACTCAGATAAACAGTATTGACGGACTGAATTTAATAACAGAATTCTTGTCAAACACTTTCTTCTCGCCAAATTTGCATCGAAGTTATACATGTACACGACTGTAAAAATTTGGAAACAATTTTAAACTTGAACTTTAAGAAACTTACTAAATATCAGAGAGTAAAAACAAACTCAAAAATGCCCTTCCATCCCTCCATAAGATTTATAACACTTTCACGTGTCGTCTGTCGTCTCTCTGGCAATGGATTGGTCGTATTTAGACCAAATTTTTAAGCAAGTTTCAACTGCATCCAACCATTGCGTTGTCTTCGATCCAACTTATTTCCTAACATCCAAAAATGAGACAAATCTTCCAATTAAGTACATGTGCATAAATCTTTGCTTGCTATACATGGCGGACAGATCCTATCATAATTTATTGAAAAGAGCCGTCTCACTGCAAAAGTGACAAAATAGAGAACGATATCACCAGCATTGTTTGCTGAGTGCAAATAAATTTCGCAGAAGAGCATTCTAACCACTTCCGATCCTAAAACCCGTTTAGGTATGTTCAAAGTGCGTCATTTTTGCACAACCATAATGAATAGGAGAGGTTACGTTTGTACAATAAAATGCAGCCAAGCTTTTCGTAACTCTCTATCTCCCCTACCCCAAAATATCTATGTTTGGAAAGACATCGTATATGCGGACATAACCTCACTTCATGAAGAGTAGTCTGCCAGTGTATGCATGGATGTGCAAAAATACACATAATACAGGGCCGTAGCGTAACTCATATGTATGTGTTCCTTGTATTTAACCTTTGTAAATTTTATAAGTGAATTTTAAAAATAATCGAGTAAATAAATTGCATTGCATACGTCGTCGATGGGTATATTCAAATGTGTCTTACATGACAAAGTATGAGTCACTATAGAATTTCTCAATGTATGTACTACAAATAATTACATAAGTATGTATACATATTTAGTATTGATATTAAACTGAGGACAAGAATTTGTTACAACGCACAAAGTGTAATTATAAAATATATTTAACTAGATAGACTGCACATAGGTCTTTTATGAATTAGTACGACGCATAGTATGTTGTTGCTAACCCTCAATGTTAAATTTGAAGAGGGCTTGTCGGAAGGTCTTTGAAGTTAGAAAGTTTCGGTAAAAAACATAGTAACCACCTTAAAAAAGTGGCCATAGGGCACGCATACATTTTTTTTAATTTCGTATAATTGTCAAAATTTGTGTATTATGTATAAGGTGATTACCTTATACATGCTATATAAAACAAATGTAATTGAGAATGACAAGGGTTACATGATAGAAGAAAACCGTCAGCGGGGTCACATCGGACGGTAATTTAACAAAAATAAATGTTTGATAATGTTTTTAAAATTAAGCGGGAAAATTCAAAATGTCGAATTTTTTATGGTTTTACTTGAACAAGGGTACAGGCTTCAGGAGTACATTTATGGAATAGATGTCACTAAAATCGTATTGCTGAGGGTTGTGGGGGGTGCCCTCTAATGAACTATTTTTCTAAAATTTGTCTCCCAGAAGAGTTACGACGGTATATTTGAAGGGACTATGTAAAGCACTTTTACATGTAGCAACGAGAAACAATTGAGTGCTAATCCACTAAAATAAGGAAAAATAGTGCTTTTCAGTAGCTTTACTGCAAACTTGTAAATAGCAATGAATCTATTTTAGAGAAGTTCGATCTGTTTTGTAATTGTATAAGATACTCTTTAAAGTGGGGCGTCCCACCAAGGTCAGTTTAATACATAAGAGAGGGGATTTCAATTTTTTGAACATGCCAGGATGTACATATGACACCTTCATGTATTGTAAACCGCATTTCGGAAGCATTGCTACGACTCTGTTTATTATCTTCACGAAACAAGCCGATGCGAATAAGCCACTCTACAGTTTGCGATTAGTCATGAAAGTTTTACTCAACTCATGAGTAGTGTGTATATCAACTCGGCTGTTTTCAATTGGCAATAGAAAAATCCAAATTAAGGTATTTACAAAACTTCTTTCTTGAATTTCCTTGCTATTAAATACTTTCGAACTAGCAATTATCAGTTTTTGCCATAAAATGAAAAGTTTTTCAACGTTGCTTTTTATATAGTTTTGCATTACTCTAACATTTTATAACGGACACTCTCCTCTCGTCCGTACAACTAATGCAAAAAGAATCTGGCACTTGTTTGTACGAGTACTCGTACAAGAGAGGGATATACATACATCTAGCTATACATACTTAACCAGTTTGCAGAATTACAAGTAGTAGTAGTACTCCTTAAAAGTGGTCTTGTGATTCTGCCTCATCATTTTGTTTATTACATAAGCCTCACTCAACTTTTACGGACTTTGATGTGACTAGGTGTATTGAGCGTGGGTCATATTTATATGTAATGTATTATATTTGATGTATGTATTCAATCATGAGTACATACATATTTATTCACTGACGCATCCAGACTCAGCGTTTTAATCACTTTCTACTCAATGTGGTAAAATAAATGTTGAAAAAAGTTTCTGCACTTTAACATTTCGGATGCATATGTATGTATCTAAATGTACCTACAATACATTAGTAGAGATATACGTACATACATGTAATGTACAACCATAAAGGTCTTAAAAACTGATTAAAAGACAGCACTTTTTGAGTTATTAAAAATTTTACTTTTCAACATTTGCATACATGAATCATACCAAATAACTCATGATAAATTTTCTAGTCACAGTATTATGTACACAAACTTTCCACCGACACGAAGCCAAAACTTGTAGAAACTGCAGAGACAAAGTTTTTAACACATATTTACATATTGAACAAAATTAAAAATTTTCTTATAAAACACAAAAATTTATGTATTTCTACTTTCTTCAAATTTCACTGTAAACTTCATTAACGTAAAAATAAATTAGTCAGACTTTCTCCACCAGCCAGCCACATTCATACATAAATAGGCACCGAAAATAATATTGGCGTCTGAATTTATTTCCCAACTATCTACATACTTAATTATTTCCTCTTTTAAATTTCAGATATCAACAGCTTTTTAAATTGGAACCAGTCTAGTATAAGCAACCATACCAAAATTCACCCAACATGTCGCTACTTTTCAACTTTTTGACACTTTATCTAATTCAGAGCATAACAGTGTCTGTACTTGCAGGATTTGAACAAAACGAATATGTCCTTGGTAAGTTTTGTTTATAAAAAAACTATTTCTAAAAACATTTTATAATAAACGTTTTTTTCTCTTAATTCAGACACAGATTTCAACCCGTTGCCCCTTCGTCTCGATCAAGTTTACTCCATCGTCAACACCGCCACGAGGTACCCACTCCTCCACGTGGACAACAGAGGGACAAACATCACCCACCTAAACCACTGGTGGAAATTCGTCCACATTTCTGACAACGTTTACCACCTCACAATCCAGGACGTGACGCTGTCAAAAATCGCACCACGATGGGGAAAGGACATCCGTCTGATAAAAGTCGGTCCCGACACATACCACATGCTCCCCGTTTTGTGCTACATTTTCCGCAAGATGCCCCCACACGACCCCAACGAGCATATTTATGTCGACTATTTCGACAACAATGGGCGTGACCAGAGCGAATGCGTGAACCGAACGAGGGTCGAGGGGGACGGTTTTGTCACAAATTTGACGAACGAAGGCGTCCACACGAAACCACGGGAGATCTTGAACAAGGCAAATTTCCTCTATAGGATTACCCCGATTGGGGACAGGATCATAGAAAGGGTGAAATCTGAGCAGTTTTCTAACGGTGGGAGGGTAGAGTTCTCAGCGAGCATAGAAAAGGAAAAGTCTGCCGGTGAAAGTTTGATCTTACCAGAGGTGGAAATTAGGGAAAGTTGGGATAAAGATGATGACAAGGCGGAGAATGATGAAGTCTCCACTCTAAAATTCGTGTGCTCTGCGAAACAAAATATTGTATTGGACAGGACCCTGTGGTCATTTGTGGTCCTGAAAGACACAAAATTCAGATTGGATTGGGTATTGAGAGAAAGAAATGATAGTGAGGCCACTGGTGGTAGGTTATCGATCGAGGGATCCCTTATGGGCGACAGGATAGGAAAACTTGTCCACTTGTCCCGTTCCGAATGGACGTTGGAGTCTGACATTTCGTCAGATGACTATTACAGCTACGATGCTCCAATCGATACATTTTACATTGACGAATTACCCACCTTGGGAAACACACAGGGTCATAACTCATCAAGGAATTATTTCTACTATGCCAATGATACGAATCGGGTAAAATTCCACTACACGGATAATGCTGCTCGGATTGAGATAAGGCTTGGGAACGGAGCCAGCCCACCTGGAGACTTCATTACATGTGAAAGAGTTTATGAAGGTTGTTTCCGAAATGAAGTGGTATTTTTGGGGCACAGAATCGAAAAACAATGCATGATGATGATGGTAATGCTAATTTTAATCTGGTGCGCCCTGATAACTTATCTCATTCGGAGAAGGCGACAAAGGAATTGGGGATATTTTGGAAACCATGATGGAATAATAATTGCATCGTTATCCAAACCCGATGGGAAATCTGAGAAAAATTTCAAATTCGTGGCTGGGAAACAAATCATGTCTTACAACCAATTTTAGATAATATCTGTGTACAGGATATTAGATGTTTCTAAAAAAATAAGCTGGATATATTTAATTAGATGTTAGACTTTTGACATTGGGCGTACTTACGACAAAATTTTATTATGAGGTATGTACGTGCCAATATTATTATTGGTCCTACTAATATATCGTGGATATATTTATGTAGATTCGAAAGAAATATGATATTACAGAAAAATACATATTTGCAAAATTCTGACTATCGAACAAAACTTCACCTGCTCAATCTGTGAGATATTTGAACATTGTCGTGAGTACGCCCACTACGGATGAATATCCCGACGATGGTGATTACCTGGTGAGAGTTTTTACGAAAAAGTCAGTGGTATGAGTACTGGACTACTCGTAGTACAGAGATTTAAGAAGTAATCTGTTGTCCAACTTTATCTTATTTATTACCTAAAGCATAACAGGGTTTCTTAAAGTATGTGAAGAATCTGAAAATTTATCCACTATAAAATGTCTCATTAGTTCAACAATCTTGTACGTAGAAATATTTAGATAGTCACATTGTAAGGATACAGTTCTACTGTGCCAAATATTTATGTATATGTACGTTTTGAAATGTTAATCTATTCTGAATATTTGATCCATTGAAACATGGAATTTGTACACCTGAAGTCTGAGTGCATACCGGACATGATTACATATTATGTATAGATACATTTGTTAGATTAAGAATCATGAAATTTTAGTTGCTGTGTAGTTACATATTCACTGGTCATCAACCTGATTTTTTAATTTATGACTTAACCTGTGATACAAAAAATATCTATATCCATGTGTACATACATATGTATGTATGTGGATGTATATATGTATTTATATTTATACTCGTGATATTTACGTAGAACTTTAAGAAGTTCCTTACTGCTATAACCTCTTTAGAAAATCTCAAAATTATTAAATGTCATTCCTATTAAATGTTAAAAAATATGTTTAAAAGTTTTTAATGCTACTAGTCCAATTTCGTATGAAACTTTTAATCGACTCGTTAATAACTTTGGTGCAAAAATGATATGATTGCTGTGAACTTTTACCGTCGTATGTAAAACTAATACTTGCAAGTAATCGTTCAAGTAACAATTATCATTCGAGATCTCAAAAAAATTGCAAGCAAAGTTTAAGCAGATAAGTAATTAGCCTTGTCTTGTAAAGGTGACTCATTTATAAATTTGTGCTGTGAACTGTGAGCTTTTTGTTATGTACCTCTAATTGTTAACGTAGTCGTTTATTAACATTGATGCTGATATTCGGCAGAAATTTAGTAGAATTTAGCTTTAAAGGTTTCTCTATATATGTATGTACTTGTATCGCTTAAATTAAAGCTGCAAAATCTGAATCTCTATAATATGTGGTGTTCTTTGGTAAATTTAAACAATTAACCAGATATTTATCTAGTAAATATACTAAGATTACAATTTCGTTCTCTTCAAAAATTCTTGTAAATACTTACATACGTACATATTTATGTAAATATAAAACATTGTAGTAAATCCTGCAAGTTCAAATAAAATATAGTTCACTTGAAAATATTTTAAACCTTTCCTCATTACTTTCACAATAAAGCCATAGTTCGTCTGAAAGCATTAATAAGTCATGAAAACAATTAGGTAAGGAATTTCACAGGTGGAACTAAAAATCCAGATAATATGCAATTTATAAATACATACATCTTTATCAGTACATGCTTATTTAACCAAAAATTATAACTGCAAATTTACCTAAAAATCTCATCTAAAAGGCTTTGCTCTGTTTTGATAAAATTTGCATGATATAATCAACTTCTTTGTAGAATCTCGGGATATTATGTATTTATGTAAATATCTATGTATTCAATATAACTTGACCTATTTGACAGGAATGACATGTCGGATTGATTTATGTGATTTTCTACTGCCAAACTATCCAAAAAAAGATATTTATTACTTTACATAAATATTAATCTAAACATATTTTCTCTCAGAAATTAGGCCTTAAAATAATTTGTATTACTTTTCTGGGATCAATACATGCCAGAAAAGGTGCTCACTACGTATGTATATATCCTTAAATATTTCTTATTCATACTTTACAACACTTACAAATGCTCTCAAATTAAAAACATAAATTTAGAAATGAAGTCATTCCATCTTGACCCCATGAAAACTAGTTGTACAGATCCATCAAATCCCACAAAGATTTAGATACATAAAACAAATATAAATAAACATCCAGTAACTCTTTCAGTCCATAGTAGAAAGTCCACACTTGACAAGGACATATCCATCATTTCATCAACTAAATAATTCTTCTCCAAGGTAAAAAAAAATGTCACAAATTGTCTCCCCCTTATTGACCGGGCTGGTCATAATGTTTACGACAAATCTACCCTACAACACCGCCACCATTTCAACCACGACCTGCGCCCTTTCATCACCCACCAATCCCTCCACCTCCGTCCGAAACACGTTCGGCCAATTCACCTCACTCCGGACCAGAACTCCTTACGAGATCCGAAGTCTCTCCACCAATCTCATCTTCCTCCACGCCACCTCAACCTTTGACCTCTTCACCCTCTCCCATTGGTGGGAGTTGGTCCCCGCAAAAAACTTCAGCCTTCGAAATGTCTACCAGCTCAAAAATTTTGACCCTGGAATGCAACCCATGTACCCACGGATCACTTGGTTCGTGCAAATCCGTACCCTCCCCGGCACTCCGAACACTTTTGTCCTCCACCCGATAAGCTGTGAGGGAAGTGTTACCAACCGGCGTAAAAGATTGATCTCGACCTCCTTCATCTACTCCGACATTATCAACTCCACCAATGATCGTCACTACACGAACTGCAATCCTTACACGGAGTCAAGCATTTTCGAGGAGAAGCACAAGTACAGGTTCGTCTCGGTTCGGGATCACTTGATAGTCAGGAAGTTACATCTGGGCGAATCCGTGACGGGAATTGTTGATCTCCCAAATGATATCAAGAACCATTTCGGTGACACTTTGAGCCGCTCTGTCACCGTGTCCCCGAGGAAGGCAATCATTAAGAATTGTGCGAGTGGGGTGGTCAAGCAGGACGTAGAGATTACGACGAAGACGACAATAGGATCGAGGCTGGGTGTGGAAAACACTTTCGCCACGGGGGAGGAGAGTGGGGAAAGGATGCATGTCGGAGTCTCCGTGGGGGCGGGAGTTGTGGGAATTTTTAAAACAGGTGGGGCAATTTTAGGATATGTATTGATTGCATATTTTAGAATTTCTGAACAATTTTTGATTTGCTAAAACGTTCTTGCAAAAATAGAAATGCACACGTCAAAATCTTGGCAACAAGATGTAGCCTCCGGGTCGGAAACATACTCTGAGAGAAACTTCGTCAAAGAGGAAACCATATCAGTTCAGCATGAGACTAAAATCTTTGTGGGAAACCACTCCTGCCTCCAAGTCTCTGCGGTGTCCTCCATTTATGAAGACAGGCCGTGGAAAGTCAACCTCACAGTGACCTTTGCCCTCGGGCCGGAAGTAATTCGGCAGGATGTCGACGCCACAATTGGTCACGGAACGGATAAGATTGCCGTGATTGAGAATGATAAGTCGGTCCTGGGAAGTGAAGAAAAGGCGAAGATTTTTTTGGAATTGATGAAATTTTCGGGATTAGATTACTCCTATAATGCCACGAATGGATTAATCAGTTATCTTAAACCGGCCACGTTGCAGGTGACCAGTTTGGTCTCAACTAATACGTATATTCAGCAAGTTAAGTGTGATTGTTGGAAAGGGTGAAATATTTATGATTATTATGCACAAAAATAATAAAAATATATATGTACATATGTAGCAGATCAAATTGTGGAATTTGGTATTAAAGCACAAAACTCACAAGGCATGAAAAATCAGAAAGTTCGGAAAGATGCAGTAGAAAAATAATGGTTCTACTTATGGGTGAATAATTTGCATCAGTGTTTTGTACTAGCCTGGACATTCCTAGATCCCATCGGCTCGATCACTCGTTTTTTAAAAATAAATACGGATAAAAAATAGATAGGGAAACTTTTGTTAGCTCTTTAACACTGTTTTGCATCGTCAATGTGTGTTTTTTATTTTTTTTTCGCGAACAATTCATGTGATTAGAAGAGAAGAAGAGTAGAGTAGTAGAAGATTTTTAATTATGTGTATAATCGCATACGTCATTCTGCATAATAAATCTTTTCAAATATGTAAATATCGGGAATCTGAAATTGTTACAGATCCTCCCAATTTTTGCTACCCCATGAGACAGGTCAGTCAAAAGGATCGGCGATAACCTTGATTGTCTAATAAATATTATTCAAGGTTTATTTGTCAACATTATTCCTGAATATGTAACACTTTCATGAATTCATGCAATTTCCCATGACCCGTTTTTGCAATCACAATATTATTTTAGAGGATGACATTTCACTATTCATAACATTCCATGATGTCAATATCTGATCTTACAAGTAGAATAATGACTTAAATTATGAATTAATATCGATAAATCAAGTTACATATTTTGACAGTTTTTGGAGCCCAAGGTTACTACTTTACAAATTCAGACGCACGTTTATACAAACAAAGGTCATGGAGAGATGCCCGAAGTGAAGCCATGCAGACCCACGAAACCCCATATTCATACCTAATTACATACAGAGACAAAATTGAACAAAATCGTCGTCTTGTAATTAGTTCTAGGTTAGATTTCTCCACAAAAACAGCTCAAGTTACTACCCACATAAATTAATTCCCATACATACATACAAGTCGTATGTTATAAATCTTCCATGAAAACTCCAAACCTTGACTTAACAATTAATACTGTTACAAAAATCTCTTCCCCACCATGAAGCCAATTTTGAACAAGTTTCTAACAATTTCATTAATAACATTGTTTTCTAAACCAATCCACCTTCTCGCACATTTTACCCCAATCCAGGAGACTGTACGAATTGGGCCCGAATTGACCTCATATCTCTACACTGGTGCCATTTATGCCATCACGAACAAAGGCACGGGACAAATTGTTTGCTCTCCCGATAACGAAATCCACTTTCAAAATGCCAACCACTGGTGGACCATCCAGCCATCTCATCCCTACTGGAATTCAGGAAAGTACAATATTACCAACTATGGCCAAGACCCTAATTGTGAGATTGGGAAGGATCTTATCCTTATCAGGGTTCAGGAGGAAGTGGAAGAAGACATATTTCTAATTAGCTCAGCCGAAGCTAATGGGGTGAGCAAATGTAGCGGAAATGAGACAATGTACCATGGGGAACTCAATCATGGTGAGGACAAATATTAAGCATTTTTTGAAATCATTAAAAATATTTATGTAATTATAGATAAGTTTTGTGAATTTGTAGTTTTTTAATTCAACCATTAATTATTGCCTTACATAATAATGTACATCAGGTTTTAAGAAATCCGTGAAATCGCAAACTTTATTTTTTTAATTATATTGTTTTCCTCCTTAGAAAATGGCATCATTGCATTCTACGGAACTCTCAACTTTACCTGTTTCACGGCCCGAAATTCACACTACAACGCGGACCTAAAAAAAATCCTCACCGAATACACAACCGCAACTACTCTCCCACAAACCCCGTACCATTTCCACTTCCACGAATACACCGCCCTCCTCCACACCAAGTACGAGGTTCTCGGTCACCTAGAGAATTTCAAGTTGCAAAAAATCTCTGAAGCAATCACGAACAAAACGCTGATCGATGACGCCTGGAAAATCGGCTTTCTCGACACTATAGAAAACTGTTCAAATTTCCCGCAACAGCGCAAAGTTACGATTTCCTTTCAAAACAACGAAACCACCCAGGCCCTCTTTTCTCAAGAACATGCCGCCCAGGTGAATAAACTTTCTTCGTTTTCCATCTCGGCAGGAGGCTCAGTTTCCGTTCCGCTCCCGTACATAAGTCCAAGCATTGGGGTCCACACCGGGAAAGTTTGGAGCAATCGAAGTTTCAACGTGATTCGAGACAAGAGCTCAGAATTTTCCTCCGTGACAAGGACAATCGATTACAAATATGTCAGCACTGTGACCGTGGCGCCGTGGAAGGTGGCCAAAGTGAAGGATTATCTGGGAGTGGTTAAAGATTTGGAGATGGAGTGGAAGGCGGATCTTGTAGTTAAATTGAAGCCTCGGGAGTCAATGGTGTCTGGAAATGAGGGTTGTTTTGGGGTTGAAGAAGTTGTACAAATTTTTGAAATGTTGGGCTATAATGTTCCCCAAGAAACGTGGAATGCGACCGTGGGAGGGTTCATTGTCCCCATAACAGGTCCGGCCTTTGCGTCTTATGCGACCGAAAGTTATGTTGAGGTGACGGAGACGGAATGTCCTCAAGATAAGCAGATGGATTGATCGGAGCTTTAAATTACTGGAAATTATGTAACTTATACAAACGTATAATATACATTCGTAAAATATTGCGTTCGAGACACTATGTGCATACATACGTCATACGTGTTAAATAAGATTAGTTAATTGTACTAAATTGCATACGTAAAAAACTGTTACATGTTTAAATCTTATTTTTAATTAAATTTTATTAGTTGAACTTAGACAGAATTTTACAGAGGGTTGGCAGAAACTGAAATACAGAATATTTGTTAAGAAAATCAGGATAGAAAAAAATATATTAATTTTATTTGATAACTTATAATATACTGAAATTAAGTAATTATGCATTTTGTAAATCTATAAACATTTAGCACACACACCATAGTTGCAATTATTTGAATAAGTACAAAACCTTTATTTCTGCAATACAGAATCGGAAGGAAAAAGAGAGCAAGCTATTACAACATTTCCAGAAGGAATCATATTAATAATTGCATGCGTTAATCAGATTGATGTACATGTCGGAAAGGATGTCCTTTCCGTGTTAAAAATTTCCACGGTCCCGTAAGTAGATACCTGGTTTCTGAATTACATAGTACGACAATGTTCATTGTCACTAAAATTCTCTCTTAATCAAAAACACAATTTATACGGCTATTTTAACTAAGATTTTATAAAATGTAACGAATCTACTTTTACTTTTATCAGTTTGTCTTGCGGATATCATAGGAAGGATGTTACACTTGATAAGCATACATATCTAAATACCGTTCCCCTTGGACTAGGGGTTGGGGTACAAAGACAAATTTTTAAGTCTGGTTTCGACACAATTTTTTCTGCACCGGTTGAAAATCAGTTTTTCTAATACATTTTCAGCTTTATGAAAAAGATTTGCAGTTTACAATTTTGACACAATAATTTACACAAGTAATCTCATACAAAAATTGGACAACACATACATACGTATTATGTATAATATTATTTTATGTACTTATATTTTTAATGAATATGTAAATGAATGTGTGAAGTTTGTTCATCAGTCCATTAGTTTTCGTTAAAATTGTCCACGCTAAAAAATATCCCTTTGGGGCAGTGTTATTTAAGTAGCCAATTTTGAGCGTTTGCGTAGCCTAATTATTGTTCATAAATATTTGTGTTTAAATTCCCTACAATTGTATATAATTTATCATACACGTCTGCCACCAAATTAAATCAACAACAATTTGTGACATTTCATTGTTACGGCTGACATGTAGTATGAATCACACAATGGTAAGGTCGTTCTCTTTTCTCAATATATGTAAATGTAACACAAGGTTCAAGTATGTAGTCAGATGTTTAAAAAAACTCAACATATTTAGTACTTCAGTTAAAAGGAAATTTTAAGAAATTACAAAATGTAGCTTATCGAGGACATTTGTGAATAATTATAGAGATACGTGTGGCGTTAGGTGAATCACAGTACCACAACATGTCTTTCAGTCTGTAATTTTATACTATCAGAGCAATCTCTTTCGGTTGTGATCGTTTCCTGAAGTAAGAATATGTTCCAACAACGAGGACAAAGATCACCAAGAAGCCAAGTGCCCACCAATTCGGTCCTACTAATAATTAATCAAATAAGTAAACAATTTTCTAAATAAAGTTAATTGAACAGGTTACAACCGGTTTTTATCCCAACATTTGAACCTTTCTCCCCTTCATGTAGAAGCCACACCTAGGACCTTCCTCCAATTCCGGTAGTAGAAAGAACGTAACTAGTAGTTACATTTGGTTCCACATGCAAATCTTCAATGACGAACTTTCCCTGGTGTGTGTACGGAATGTGTAGAGTATTGGTGGCATGACCGTCCTAAATTTGTACAAATGTACATAAAATAAACTTACTTTTGGAGTGTCATACAAAATAAGAAATTTACCTCTAATTTGGTTAGAGTGAGTTTGGCTTCCATATCCCTCAAAATAGTGCCGGTGATTGTGTTATCTCCGGATTTCAAATATATCACACTTTCCAAAGTGTTGTTATTCCCACGGCGAGTCTTTGCTCCTTCAACTACGAGGAGCGGTGGGCCTTTAACTAATAATTAATTTAAAAGTATATACATTACCACTTATGTTAAGGAATGTTTTACGTGGATGCTTACTGAAGAAACTAAATTCCTTCGTGACGGGACCATTGAGCGACAAAAGTTTTATTTTGCAGCCAACCATTTCGCCACTGTGTGCAATATCTTGACCAACGAGAACGGTGACGGTATGATCACCGTTATCCGTGATGTGAGAAACCTCTGTTTACATAATACAAATTTACTTCAATTTTGCCATATTATTTGTCAAAGATTGTATGAAGCTGCTAAATGTATGGAGTTAATATGTGTGTACATAAATACATATAAATAAAATAACAGTTTTAGCGTTTTTAAAAAGCTATACGCTTGTATGTAATTTGATGATAATTGTTTTTAAATAATTAAAACACTGACCTGCCAAACTACGATTACAGGAAATCGTATCCATGCTAAATTCCAGATCTGCTACAAAGTCGCACGGGTACCACGAAACCGTGAAGCTCACATGTTTCCCATTTTGCGAAGAAGGAATGATATATAAGAATTTTTCCGCGTCCTCTCCTGTATGAGGTGTTACTACATAGATAGAAAGATACGCAAATAAATTTCACATAAGTTTTAGACTCTCTGTCGAGTTTGTAAAACAACTTATGCATTGACCATTCACCCATGAACGGGCCATCCGAGTTTTTCAGTATCTTGACAGGTACAACGGTATCGTCATTCCAGAGCCCAAAACACCCATCGTGTGAGTGGTAAGCTATTTCGTACCCCTTCATTAAGGGTTGACCGGTGTATGGATATAATTTCCTCTGAAAATACAACCTCAGTATCATCGTACATTTCAGATTGTTAATCAATTATGAAATTTTACTTATGAAATCTTACATTTATTGGGAGGAGATTTTGTAAGCTCTCCAACATCAAAGCGTTTTTCTCAAATAATAAATCAGTATAGTTTGCAAAAATGGCAGCATCTTCTCCAGTCCTCATGGTCCAACATATTTCATTCTTTTCCCCTTCCCCTTCCTTTGGGGATAAGTCGATTCCATAATCTTTGAAAAATTTGTCTCTTCCTTTTCCCTTGGACAAGGCGACGGTAACCATTCCGTCGTCGTTCAAATTAGACTCGTCTAACGATCTAGTCCCACTGAGCGTAATTTGGTAACAGGTGCTCGTAAACATGTCGTAGGGAAGAACTTTCCCTGGAACACGAGGGCAGAACTGCAAAATTTGCGTGAAGTCCAGGCTGGGAGTAAATTTTGTTTCTGTCCTGAATTTGGATGAAGATCCATTATTTCCAAGTTGACCAGTTATTCTACTGTCCTTCAAAATCCTAAGGGGTTTTAGGTGGCCCTATTTGAAAAGTATTAGATAAGTATGTACATATGTGTTAAAGCCTTTTAGAGGAGATGAATTCATATCGATTTTATAAATTGTTTAAAGAGTTTCAAATTATTTCCTACTCTCCATATTCTGCACCATGTATTAGAATAAGAAAAATATGTAATTTCAAAAATTTGCAAGAACTTGTTTTCCTTGCATATTCTAACCTTTACAATGGTTGGTGCCGAGTATGTAAAAGGTTTGCCCCATTCGGTGACAACTCCAAAAATTTCTGGACCCCCGTCCATGGACTTGTTGCCGTAATTTCCAGCGGAATCCCGAACCTTAGAGGGATGGATTGTAACCCATTTTTCTGGGAGAAGTAGAACGTTGGTGAACTTTCTGCTTCACTCGTTGCAAAAAGTTGGACTGCTGTGATCACAAGGAGTGGGCGAGGAATGTCTGGGTAGGAAGTTAAGCATTGATAATTTATCATGGATACATAAGTATGTGTCTGTATATGAACGTTGTTTAGAATTGAATATACAAAACTTACATAGCTTCATGTTGACTTTTCCTTACTTTATGTTGGTCCGCTAGTACAGGAACTTTTATTCTACAAATCACAAAATGTACATATCGTCATCATGGCAAATCTGTGAAGTATTTAGATATTTATGTACATATGTATGAATATACGTGTTAACATTTTTCTAATGGTAAGTATTGTATTCATTCTGGTCCATAAATAAATAATCCATGGATAAGTCGAATTACATAATAAAATTCGACGAAATTCTTTTCAAACATATCCCTCACTTATACATATACTGGGGCTGTTGATCCTTATAATGACTTAATTTTTAAAATCTAACCTAAGTTCCAAATAACCTTTTCTAATTTTATTTAATTTTTACGAATAATTTTATGTTAATATACTTGAAGGAATTGAAACTGCTCAAAATCTTTAAATAAGTATGTCCTGATTATAAAAATGACCTCAGTTGTACATTTCTCATGTTTCATCTACGGATCCATTCACAAACGGTCTTAGCCAGTACTGGCTAAGACCGTTTATTTAAGTACCTAATTAAATATATATCCACTAACGATCGCAATAAAAATGCACGCATCAGTCTCAAGTGGATATGTATACTTATCCACCAACAATTTACAAAAATAAAATTGTTATAAAAATTGCACTGATCTGCCAAACACCTACCGTAAATATGTACATATGTATGAGTGTTCAGATTCATGTAATTCATTTGACAGCAGACCTTTAATTGGTTTGCATGCAAATATGCGGGAGGAAAGACTCGACCGACCAATGTGTAGAAAGATAAAGATGTATGTACAAGTAGGTACTGAAAACAGTATACATATGTATAGAAAAAAGAGTGACTCAGAAAGTATATACATATGTAGATACTGAATGCATGGTTGCGATCAGGAGAAAGAGAGTAGTTTGCAAAAAAATCTGTGCATCTGAAATGTCGTAATTGTGCGTAATTTAGGTTAAAGGAAAACGTTTGTTACTTTAAAAAAGTATATATAAAAAGAATTGGTGTTCAGAGCAAAAAAGTAGTGTTTTGTCAGAGTGTGTCCACGTCGGTCGTGAGAACTACTCAAGTAGTCAATTGAGGCACACCACGTGCATACGTATGTATGTATATAATAAATGTGCATGCAATTTTCCATGCAATATTTTCGGAAATAAATAAATCTCAGAAACGTACTAAATTGTTCAGAAATTTACCATTATTTAGTATCATAACCAAGTAGTTAAGTTAGATAAGAGCTGTTTGAAAACTTGTCTGTAGCGTCCATAAATTCAAATTATGATTGTGTTAAAATAAATGGTTTTGCTTGTCGCATCTACAACATTATTATTTCCTTGCCCTACTACTAAATTGGAAATATGAACACACAGAAGCGTTCATTCATCAGCAGATAATTTAACTACTTGTAAATATACGTATACATATAGACCCATTTGTGCAAACTCTGCTTACTGCTTCTTCTCCTTCCTGTACTGAAAAAGACCGACATCATTGGCAAAATTAGTTATGCAGTTACTCATACATCATCGTTATAATTTAGTTTACACATAAAATCCAAAACGTTTCAAGCAGAATTGCATGCAGTGAAAGTATAATCACGCCATACGAGTCGTATGACACAATCATGTACATTTCCCAAACACATCGTTCATGCGTACATACATACTATGTATCACTCTTAACACGAGTAGGATAGTGGATGGTGGTGAAAAAATAAATACGAGACAAGTTTTTGCCAACTGGGTGTTAAAGATATGGGTTCGCAAACATGTAGATATGTAGACAGGACAACCACGAGTATAAATATGTATGTCCGTGCGTACCATTAAATTTTACGCATAAACTTAATTTTGCAAATAGCATCTCTTATCGAGCCATTAAGTTTTTAAGAAATCAATGTCATGATCCTAACACAGTGTTAAGGTCACGCGTTCAGTCACTGTCGAAATTAATGCATGCAATTTTACTTTAATTTTAGTTTAGTAATAATGGCAGAAATACGTCGCTATTGTTATGTAATCCATCCCTCGATTGAAATGTATAAAATAAATTACAGTATCATAATTATTACCTGAAGAATCCACAGCACCACCTCCCTTGATTATGCCCACTACAGCACTGAGTGACAAAACCGGTGTATGTATGTGAACTTCCACTCTCTCTGAAACCAAAAGTCAAATGATCAAAAACAATAATGATGATGGGATTACTTTGAGCATATAAAGTAAAGCTTATACGCTCTAAATTTTCATACGGCGCTGGATTATTATTGTACAGCTACGCGTCGTACCCCAATCCTCACTCGTCGTCTTTTCTATGTACATATATAAAACATACCCTTGTACATCTTTCCATGTATCAACGTTTACAGATATCTGTAAATTTGTATTCCATACCTATGCATACACATATCGTTATTTTAATGCTGACAGTTTGTATGGAGAGAAAATGTCAGATATTAAACAAATGATGACGATATTACCTGTGACGTAATTTAATATTGGACTTGAACCATGGGATTTTTTAAAGTATTAGGTGTATGTTTAATGCACATTTAGGAATATGGAAATTGTGCGAGTGAGGATACTAGGAATACTAGGATACTAGGCAATAATATGAAGTGGTTACTTTAGTTGGCAACGTTTCGTTATTTTTAAGAACGGAGAAAGTTGTGAGTATGATTTCTCTGCGGGTTGTCAATGAGTGGAAGTGAGGATGGAAGGAATACGGTATTCCGAATACCCTTAGAACGACTTACATACTATTGGCTAAACATGTGTATTCATATAGATTCATCCTCAATAAGTAATATTTCAGGATAGATTGGTGTGATGATGAGCAATGAACTTTATTTATCTCCCCCGTTGCAGATACATATATGTATGCACATAATCATTATCTAATGTCGTCATGTGCATACATTACTTCCAGCCCACTATTGCCCTGATACACTAACATCATGAGATGCTAACCCACCAACCCGTTTGAATCGTGCAGGTTATACACTGAAATACAAATATTTTGCAAAGTTCCGCACACACATTTCGCATCCGAAAGTTTTCAAGGTTTTAAGATCGGGAGTGTAATTAATTTTAGGCAGAAACGAGGGACATGCTAAATCGAGAAATTCAAAAAAGTCCATCGTGTCCTTGTTAATAAGCCCTTCATTATACAACCTTCAAATGATAATGCCCTCTTACTTCCACCGCCACTGATTTTGTGTCTAGGCAAGTACATGCATATGCAAGCCCAATGTGGATAGGAGTTTGATCGAACGAACTACACTTTGGATACATTTCACTACCTCTAAAAAAATTTTGCCCAGCCTTCTCCCCAACAAAGTATCCTCTAAATAATATTTACTGGTTTAAGTATTTACAGATCTCCCATTCAGAGACTGTGTCCTCTTAGCGTACGTAATATTGGTGATTGTGACGTCAAAATTCAAATCAACTCAACCTACATTATGTACGTATAGTGTCTATTACTAGTGTCTTCTGCATGAGTCAGTGGAAAGGGAAAATATGCATGGTTAAAAGTTCAAGTATTTTCAGGAACAAAATAATTAATCTGACCTCATATTTACTGAATATGTAGATGTATTTACCTCGGAAAGGCTTTTTATATAGTGCGGACTATATTAAAGTACCGCAAAAAAATCCCCCATTCGCAAGCAGTCACTTCTGTCTGCACTTGTAAGATGTATGTATGTATGTAGATGTTACACAGTGATACATTCGTATGCTTAACATTAGCAAAAATACAATCATTTGCATTCGAATAATTTCTCGAGTTCCCTAAATAATAAATGCTGTGTTACCCAGTATAAAATTCAGAATTGTGAAAAAAGTAATGTTCTCACCAGACGTCCTTAACAAATTGTTTCGCAATCCCGAACAGATAAGTAAATAGATATGTCCACAACGAAAAGAGTTAGTTACTTAATGTTCTTCAAATTATTTTGGAAAGTGAAGTTCCACCATGTATGTCTTTATAGATAACTATTCCTTCATAAAATTAACTGGTTGCCTTGACTGATCAACAACAACAAACAGCAATTAAGTTCTTCAAATTCGGTGCTTCATTTCTGGACAGTTTAGTAGGCTAAATAGTAATACTTCATACTTAACGGTGAACACGATTCGCATCTTTATTATGTGCGAGTTCAATATGCTGGGTGAAGAGAGAATTTATAATAGATATTTTACTATCTTCCATATTACAGTAAATCTCTCAACATAGTTTGGTCCAGCCAATAAATGTGTATATCCATAATGCGTAATGTAATTTACAAATGTGTGATTGTATACATTAATTACAATGACTTCCAAACTTGGCTTCTGAAATGCATCGGTTTAATTAAAATATCACTTGCATTATGGTTGTGTTAGTGAGATGTGAATTTGGATGACGAGATGAGAATCTGTAGGGCATGAGAATGCACGTAAATGTATATATATATAAGTGACGTATATCTGCAAAAGTGTGTGACGTTGTTGTTGTATACTTTAATCCCGTGTTTTTTACAACTCATAATATGTGCATATATATCGTGCTATCCCACTGATTAGGTACGCCAATATTCATGAATATTGGCAAGACGAAAATTTTTGGAAAAGCTAATTTTCTCATATTATGACTACTTTCTAAAAATAAAAACAATTTGGATGTCCAGCACATACTTTCCCTTACTCTGCGAGAACAATGAAAACCGACGAATGCATGTAATTTGATAAGCACCATGTATTACGACAATGGTATCTATTTACTATTCGTATCTATTTACAACGGTATAATTCAAGTTCACTACATATAGGCCAAGTATCAATAAAAACGATAAACACTGTTTTGCATTATGAATGCACCTACAATTATGCTTCACAATTCCATGTTGGTTCTTAGACATTGTGCTTTTCAATTAACAAAAACCGATTTTCTTACTGGATTGATTTCTTCTTTTAAAGCAGGTTTTTAGATCAAATATCTGACTTTATGGCACTTATTAATTGTACTCATTCACCAATAAATCAGATACCTTCGCGTTTGATTTTTAGCCAGGTTTAACTCCTTTCCCTATAAAATAGCAACTACTACTGGCGAAATGAATACATAAATATGTATATATGCGTCAATTAACATTGCAAGGTTTGACAACATAAAATCTAAGCCAGTTTGACTATGTGTATACGTAGAAGAGTGTGTATTTGATAAGTGAGCATGGAGCATGGACAGTGAGCATAACATGAATGAGCATGAGCATGGACCATGGACCATGAGTCATTTATTCTATCCATCCCATCTCATCCATTCCATCTTTTCTTCTAAGCTGTAAATTGCTAACTGACAACCATGCAGTTACTCCAGTTGCCTGCAACTTTATTTAGAATTTAATACAAGGTAAAAATTGTCATCCATATTATGGATTTTATAACAGATAGTGAGCTTTACGCAAGTAAAGTAACGTTTAGTAACGTCCACATATTATAAAGTGTGAGGGGGAACTCAAGGGGTGTAGCAAAACTTCGTATTTTCATAAAACGGAAAAATTTTGAGATGACTTTCCAGAAAGAAAACCTTTCATTAGATTTCATTAAATGCTTGAGAAATAGAGCTTGTCATGTGTAATACACGTATTTAAATAATGCACATCATTAGAGAAATAATCCTGGAAAAATATCAACAGAAATATTTCCGGATGGATTAGTGCATTGATGAGTATGGTGCTTTATCTCGTTGGAAAAATACTGCATATATACATAGATATGCACATAAATATTATTGAATGTCATCGCCTAATGGATAAATATCCAGCTCCACTACCACCATGACATTGTAACCCACTACTTCAGTGACCTATTTGATAAGCGCGGCTTATCTGTGACATTCATAGTTCATTCGAGTTCAAGTGTGTAAATGGTGGTCCAAGTCTGCCTTCCTCAACCCTAGTTTTTACGTCCCTATATCAACTTCCCCATTTGTTCTTTATCAAGAAAGATGATTTTACAGTACTACACACTTCGACAAAGTCCAAACCAATGTGATGGGGACAATGATTTCTTACACTTCTCTCATTCTTTTATCTCTCAGACTAATCCTATACATAGGTGCAATTATTACATTGGCTTGACCTTGAAATATTAAAAAGAAGTCTGGCCTACAACTTTGTAATTTTCTTTAAGTTACCCGAATTGTTCTTTATTTCAAGCTAAGCACTTATTTACTTTTGCTCCCTCATATTTTGAAACTTGAAACGAGGATACAGAATACTTATGTATATCTTATACAATAGGCATCAAGTAACGTATTACAGATCAGGTTGTGAAATAGTACTCCTGATTGTTTGCATAGGGGAAGGCGTGTCAGTCAATCCAATAGTCAGCAAATTCACGTCTAGTAAATACATGCCATCTTGTCTGTCCACGATGCGTTTTTATTTATGCATATATACAAAATATTTATACATGTATAAAATGCTACAATACACATTTAAAATAACATCCAAGCCCTGTAGCCAATGTTCGGAACAACCAACTGGTATATAAACTTAAAATATTGCTTTTACTGTGAAAGTATCCAGATAAAACATGATTTTATCAGTAATTTTGAACGTTCGAATTAAATTCTTAACATAAAAATTGAGCAGGACATTTTATAATTCCTTAGGAACTGTAACCCAATATTATTTTGAATATATGTACACAACGTTGCTTCATTTTTATAAGCACATTTACCTAATCAGTACAATTACACAAGGCGATTTGGCAGATGTGCGTAACTATTTGAATGGTGCATTTACATATGCACGACCAGTTTACAAAAAAAATATGTGTGCTAGAACTTCACCGTATTCTCATCACTTTCATCAGTAAAGTACCACATCTCCAAGAATTTCTACATTCAGTTATTGCTAAACACGTAGATAACCTCATAATAAATGCATTGTGGAATGCACTTACATATATGTGCAAACATATTTATGATTGCTTGAATTTTTGATCAACCACCGCAGCTTTTTAAGAAACATGTCAATAAGACATTTTCTTGACAATGCATATAGCAATGCTCGAAGTCTTTTAATTATAACGATCAAAATAAAAATCCTTTTTACACCGTCGAATAAAATCCTAAGCACCAACTCTGCCCCTCATGATCTCTTTATTCTTCCCTCCCGTCGTGGAAAATTGTGGGTGGAGATGGATGGAGGGGGATACGCAGAAGAAGTATGTTCTACTATATGTATGAATATACTTTTATTCTGGTGTAGTCGCCTCGCCACGTCTCCCTCCTCCTTCTGTGCCTGGCATCACAAATACATGCATATACGTAAAGGAAGAAAGTACGGATTTCAGTAATGTATGTAGTTGAATCATGAGTAGCAAGATGATAAAATAATTAATCGTCATTTTTCAGTTTTCACTGCCCTGCATGTATACCGTAGTGTAAGCAAGTTCACTTAAGGCCAAATTTTATTGAAAACATGTAACGAAGTATATATAGTATAGTCTAATTCTGCGGTATATATGTATAGTATATATATAACATTTCTATGACTACAATATGCCCATAAATATTATGACGACTACGCTTCCTTTACATTTGTACACAAATTACGTGCGTATGTATTGTACTATAACTTTGGTATCTACATATTTATGTACATTGTGCGTTTAAATTTGCGAAATTTGGTATACTTACCGGTTTGATTTCTTCTCCTTAAACAATGTGCCCTTCCAACTTCAAATCCAGCACACAAAGCACCTCTTATTAGTTAGAAATAAATAAATAAATAAGAAATTATAATAAAACTTTTTCACTAAATTTTATTATGCAGAAGGTTCTGCTCTTGCCAGGACCAGCAGAAATGAAACGCAACTAGTGAAGTACACGTTCGTTCCTAGCACATACATACATACATACATACATATTTTAGCATTGTAACTTGGTTATTGAGAGTCGAGTCGTCTTTCTCTCCACCGTGTGCTCGTGATTTGGTGAGGATTTTTTGTCTTATTCTGCACAGGTTGAGGTAGGTACATCTGGTACATCCGGTCCTAATTAAATTTTGGAAAATTTCTTCTTAACTAAGATGATAACCATGGGGCATTTCTGTTCACATTTTTGCCATCATTTTGATACCAAACGTGATATTATTCGGTCAAAGGAGACGCAAATTATTTTCACTCGTTGGAATACGGTTTGCATGAAATTTCCATGCAAAAGAAACTTTCCCTGATGGAAAGTTTCTACGCAACTAAACCTTCAAAATATAGTGAATCTGAGCATATGTTTCACTGATTTCATTTCGCAGTAGTTACTAAAATTATATTTGGGAAAATTGAAATATTTGTGATTCAAGCATACGTACATATGTATGTAGGCTAATTAATCGTGCAATAATCTGAATAAAAAATTCCACGGAGAAAGTGAAAGTTTAACTGATCCGTTGTAAGCTCATATGTTGTAAGGTGCACTTAATAAGGAAACTTTCACCCACATTCACAATTTTCGCAAATTTATAATTTCACAGTAATATTTCCACCATTTTAATATTTATGTATGTACATACATACCTACGTAGGTATGTTATTTCGTTTTGTTACTTAAAAATGTATGCACACATCTACGGAATTAATGCATAATTATTTTCTGCAGTTGTAAATTTCAGACTTTCTTAAAATTCACTACATAGGATTTCATTCAAAGGTAAAAGATCGGTTTTCATTTCACGTCAGGAGATATTTTTTGGATAATATATGTATTTATAAAATGAAGTGATGATACGGTAGATCAAATTATGTAGGATCACAGTGGTAACAACGTATAAATATTATCACAATCTTCACCCCAGTATAAAAATTGTGAATTTTCATCTTAAACATCGTAGTGCAAATTCTTTGTCCATCCTACACAAGTAGGTTGTGTAGGAATATGAATCAGCGTCCCAAAATTGAGGAAGATGTTGCACCAAGTACCAACACCTTCACTGTACCAGCACTGTTGGTATGTAATGAAACTTAAAATGAATCGTGAAAATGATGTTTGGAGTAGCCGCATATTTATGTTCTCCAGTGTTGCTGAAGTGCCCGAGTTATGATGTCGACAACCACGTCACGTTAGAGAATTCTTCGTTGACGAATATCTCTCATTGTGTGTCCTCCAACCTGAAATTTCGCCCAATTACCCTTCCCGGTATGGTTGTCTCGACCGTGAGCATGTTTTCATTGTGATCATGGTTCTCTGGAGAACAATGTTTTCTCATGCATAGCAAACAAATGCTAGCGTCATTAATAATTTCTGGTTTCTGTCGTCTTCCAATTTGATCGCATCATCACTTGTGTCCTCCATGGCTTCGATGCCCTTAATAGCTTAACCTGCTACAGGAGGAAGAAAGATTTTTCTTTGTTGACCAGCATATCGATTTACGATTATCTTCACTAAATTCTTTCCCCCCCCCCATATAATCTCATGGTCGGTTAATATATGCGCGACCTTATTCCTCACTCATAATTACTTGTGATCCAGTTGGCACCCTCATACGGTTGCCATATTCACTCTGATCGCGTTTGTACTTTTGTAATATCGACGTTTATGTAGTCGGCATGATTCGTGTTGGGGGAGGATCTTTGTCGAAACTGTAGATCTCCTGTGTACAAATGTATGTAGGTGGTACATGTTGGGATGTGATAATGACTGCATTAAACGGGGGAATCGGTCCCATCGTGGGGCCTACGTGTTGAAAATGGCGTCTTGTGTTGGCAAATAGTAAAGACTGCCCGACCCGCGGATGGTATGACATCGTGATGTCGGGATCATGTTATTTCGCGGTCCCGATGACTGGGTACTATGTGGTTGAGTTGACGATGGAGTGACTTTTGTCAAAGTGGAAGTGTGTCTGAAATTTTGATACGTTTATTAATTATTTGTACTATTGTTTAAGAGAGGAGGGACAGCTAACCTCTGATAAAATTATTCTTGGCATCTCTAAATACAAAACTCCATAAATGACTAAGTGGTACATACGCAGTTAAATGAGGATTTGGTGCCAATAAATTTTCTCTAAATCGAACATGTCCCTTGTCTATCAGTTTAGGGTCTGCAATGAAAAAAGACTTAAAAAATTTTAATTAAAAAATTTGAGTAAGTTATACGTCTCTTAACTTTTAACCAAACAATAATCTAATGATAAGCCAATTTTAAAGTAATCGCATTAGTCACTAAATATGTGTGAATGTAAATAAATTTGTAAACCTGCATAACAATTTATCGAAAAAACATTTCATAATCCAAGCTACATACATGTAGAATTTGACGCATCGAGTTCTTTGTTCAGCTACATACATATATGTACATATAAATCAATTAATACCTACACTAAAATATGTAAGTATAGATATGTAAATATGTTTACATTATTTGTAAAAGCTTGGAGCACGTCCTCAATATGTACATATTATTATGGTTACATGTACATACATATGTACATAACTATATGTACGTAATCAAATACATAATCTTACCTATGCTATTGCTAAAATGTAATCTAGACGACAAATTTGCATGTGTTTTTGGAGATGTGCCATTTCTACGTAAGTTCAAATGCATGTATTCACAATCTGGATGAGAATATATCTATATACTGCATTTACCCATGCTTAAAATTAGTCCAGACGATGCATTTACTTTATGCAAACAGTAAATGTATTAACTTATGGCGAACGCCATTACAGACGCGTGATATAGAACGGATGGCATTAATGGGATTTGATGCCACCATTTCGGATTCGTATATACACTAATATATTCAAAGACCTCGTAGATACATATGCGTATTGTAGATCTTACAATGTCATCAAAATTAGCTATTATGTAGCACAATGCATACTCTAAGATTGACTATAAGAAAAATGATTTGTACAACTATGTATCCTTACCATGGATTTAATTGATGCCTCTTTTTCTGGAATAGTCGAAAATTAAAATATTATTTTCAGGTTTATTTTTACAGTAAAAGTTTCACTAACACCACTCGAACACAGCAAAACCCTCATGAGGCGTGCAGGAACTGACTGCTGATAACTGGTACAAACTCATTTAGCCATCCCCTCCCACATATTTGTGAGATGATTATTCTCTTCACCAGTATGTGGTACTCATTTACACGTATAGCGACCCCCTCGACTGTGCAAATATGTATATGTAAACGCTAGTAAAAACCTTATCGTTAAATGCATAAAAAAACCAGCTTATTTGGTTTAACTTTCTTTAATAACATGATATGTAGGGAGAAGAGTCACTCGTGAATAAGCTGCGATATGTACTTATGTAAATGAATATTTTTTATGTACGAATATTTAACAGGATAAGTGGTGTCGACTTTAAACTTGTTCAGTTATTGTTATGTAATTTGAAGATACCGTAAAGAATACCAGTAAAGTTAATAGGACAAAAAATTATATGCAAATTTAAACTGCATTCTATGCAGTCTTCAGTCGTTGACATTTAGATGCTGGACACATATTTATTAGTGATTACTATTACACATTTTTAAACAAATTTAATTCTACAAAAATTGCCAAAACTTGGACTGAGTACTTTAAATCTTTACAAAGTTACCGACCAAATATTTTCATGCATTTTTATGTCACAGGCAAAATGCCCCTAAATATGAATTTCACACTAGGTATGTAAATTATCTGTGATGGTTTTTCCAGGAACACTTCTCTTTTAATTTCCACGCTAATGCATACAAAATGTCATACAATGTCATATCAATGTCATACAAAATTGGCACGAAGGCATATAGTCAATAGTTTACAAGACACATTTGCTTGCAAGTTTACATTCGTCCACACTTGTTCAGACCATTCTCAGGGGTCAAAACCCAAAGCGTAAAAGGGGATTAAACCTACATATGTATATGTACACATATAGCCACACCCTTGAGTCCAACTGTTCAAGTATGCAAACAAAACTTTTCCTTAAACAGGATGGTGCACAAAACACCAGCTTGTTTGGTTCAACTTCACTTAATCGCAGAAGAACATTACGGATCGCTTGTAAACTAGATGTAATACATTACACATACATACGTTCATGCGTTAAATATGTAAATGAATGCATGGTGTGTACTTATATTTAACAGGACGACTGATGAGTAAACTTTAAAATACTTCCCTTATTTTAGTATAATTTTGAGATATACATACATAGTTAAGAATAAATAATGTATAATTGCATAATAATTGTAGGTGTTTATGACAATTTTTTAGGTTTAAAAAACTGCGGGCATTATGTGTGAATTAATGAAGGACGACGGATTGTTAAGTGAATTCCTCCTAATAAGAGAGATTCTTCTAGTTTATTCTGAATACATAATATATGTGTAGATTTATATACTGCCTAATAAACATGTCTTGTTCTATGTTTATGATAAATAAATAGTTCTACCAAAGGGTGATATTTTACACGGTGACGAATTTGACCTTTAAAAACTCCGGAACGGTTTGTGGTGGAGCTTCGCGATATTTTCTATATAAGAGCCCTTATCCTGAACAATAAGTCGGCATCTCTTGTTCCAACTTTTATACACTTACTGCTTCTATGCCCGCTTCAGTTTCCATCAACTTCTCGCGAATGCAGTATGCGCACGTCTGTATGCAGTTGGAAAGAGAATTTGGAAATGTGAGGGCTCAGAAACTTTTGAAATTTCGAGTCTCATCTCAAACGTTTGATAAAAATTGGCATTTGAAGACGAGTACCTCTTTCAGATTACTGGAAAAGTTTGAATGACATGTCAACATTCGTGTGCAAATTCAAACAGGCATCAGAGGAATCCACCGTAACTATTTACTTTCTCCCAGAAATATTTAGTAATTTACAATTTATTTATTTATTACTGTGTGGGGGCATCTCATTTACTTTTATTCTTCCAGATTAAATAATATTTATTATATCTAACTTAAATTATTTCTGTACAGTGAGTGAGTAAAAGAATGGAAGGTTTCATAGTAAGTAATTTAATCATGTTATTCCGTTCTACTTGTGTCCTGCTTTTTATTTATGACATCGAGTCCCTATTGTCTACACTATCAAACGAAGTCTATGTACTTTGTCCACAAAATTTAAGCCGGACGTAGCAGATAAATAATTCCACGTGCCTCATTATGTAATGGGGATTTTTCTGATTTTACAAAGAGTACGCGCGAGAACTTATGTAATATTTAGAAAAATTAATGCATCGACACAGATTTTTCGACTCAAAGAGAAAGTACAAAGGAGGGAGAGAAAGGGACTACAAAATTGGCCCTATAGTTTCATTTAGTACACGTTAAAGAGCAAATGTCACATAGTTCGTGCACCACAATATTTTTTCTTAGCCGAAACAGTAGGCCAGAAGAGTCCCCACCGCACGTATTTGAATTCCGCTTGGGCAAGTAAATGCTTGTTTGAGTTTATTTCTCTCTTATTCTTTACTCCTCGTGAGTAGAATCCGGTGCGGGTGGACGAAATCTGAGTTGAATTTCTCGTGGCGAGAGAGTATGTGGTCGCAGTCCTCTACATTCATACTTATGTGATCACACAGTAATAACTACGTGCATATTGAGATACAGACATATTTTATCAATGGCAGGTGCTTTTAAATAACTTTCTCCATAACAGAGAGACAGTTCGCTCCTTTACTCATTTCTCCTCCGAAAATCTTCGCATTGTTGTAGAATGTTAACCATGTCTATGCGCTCTTCAAGAACTGGGCGAAAATGCGATCGTACTTTTAGCAGGGGGATATCTCTTGGAAATATTGGGGGGTGTCGAATAACTCGCACTTGGAGAGGAAAGAAATACCCCTCTGACGTATGGAACGGTTAAAATTAGTTAGTTAAACGATGTAAAGTTTGTTTATAATGGAAAAAAATTGACTCACTAATTCTCCTCCAACACCTGCATCCGCCTCGGTGAGCAATTTTCTTTGAGACGAACGCTATCAAAGCGGTGCAGCCAACCTCAATAGTGGTAAAGGCGAAGTCGATCACGTCAAGTAGCGTGAGGCCGGTAACCATAGAGACGGCCCCACCAGAAAGACCTGAAATAAATGTGAAAATAATTAAATTTATGAATCAAGAGTACCAATTTTTAATAGATCTGTACCAATCTGGTCAAAGATGTTATATCGTTTGCTTCTACGATCGGCATCGGCAGTGGCTGAATCGTAAAATACGTGGACAATAGAAATTTCTGACGTACTGTAAAAAGAATTGATTTAATTAGATATTTTCCTTAATTAGTTATTTAACTACAAAAATTACTATTTTTGTAAATTAATTATCTGTTAAGAAAATATATATAATATTAATAAATATTATAAATATTATTAATATTATATAATATTTATATATTAATATATTTAATATATATAATATATTTATATATATATTACATATTAACATTTAATATGTATAATATATTTTTAAGTAGAAAATTGTACAACAAAAATTAATTAATTTTATTTTTAATTTATTGTCTACGTACTTTACATCCCATCCATACTTCTGCATGTAGAGTTGCATATGACTTTCGTCCATTGGACTCCAGTTAAACGATGTGGTATACGTAGTATCTTTACAGTTTGGTAAGCATTGTTTACACTCGTTTTTTAAACCGATCTTGTACATTTTATCTAAAAATAATTAAAGTGATTTAGTCGTTTTATATATTAATCCTGTGACTTAGGAGGAGAGGGGAGGATATGGTGACTCGCAGATCCTGTTGAAACTTTTACCACTTCAAGAGCTAGATAAGTTAGGAAGAAATGTAAAGTATTTCGACTCACTGGCCACCCGTTCTCAAGATTTTGACCTTTGACCTCGAATTCTATATGCACACATGTTCAGAGATTTTGAAGTTTTAACGCCGAATAACATATTTAATTTGATTTGAGAATAGTTTTGGAAAATATCAGATTTCATTTACTATACTGAAATGAAATGAAATATTTTATTCGGCGTTAAAACTTAAAAATCTTTTAACATGTACGCATAAGGAATTCGAGGTCAAAGGTCAAAATCTTGAGAACGGGTGGCCAGTGAGTCGAAATGCTTTACATTTCTTCCTAACTTATCTAGCTCTTGAAGTGGTAAAGTTTGATCAGGATCTGAGAGTCACCATATCCCCCCCTCTCCTCCTTAGACAGTTAGACCTACTGTCTGTTTTTATTGCACATTGTGTCTTTTTGTGGGCGCATAGCTCTCGCCCCGGAAATCCTGATTTAAACAAAACATTAATTTTATAAAATTATATATTTGTGGCCTAGTACCTGGAGCGTCCAAAATGCTGCAGTTGCATGTCTTGTAAATCTGCTTTGAAATACATTCCGAATAACAGTGTTTTCTCGAATATTTGACGTAGAAATCCATTCCGGCCAGGGAAACTTCATCACTGAAGGGACATTTGCGTTCCTCCTAAAGTAAAAGGCGGATTGGTGCAGGTTAATTTACAATTTTTGAAATTAGGAAAAAATGTTGTTAAAGTGTTCATTTCTTACGACTGATACATCTCTTATTTCAGCTTCTGCCAGTCTCACTTTTGGTAATATAGAGACTGTTACCTCCTTACCAAACGAAACTAGTTTACCGAATCTTCTGATTTGGGGCTCATCCAAGGGACGGTTGACGGCTACCTATGTTATTATACAAGGACGAATCAAAAAGTAATGACAATAGTAATTTTTCTCAGTCCTGCTGGCAAATTTGGCATAAAGTTATTATGCCGGTTGAACTTCATATTGATTGTGATTTTGTGCAAAAAAAATTTCGGATTTAACTTGAGCGGATGTTACATGCGTTCATTTATAAAAAGTCCTCGAAAGTGGCCAGTGCGCGGCCACTCAAATGCCAATTTCTTGGATAGTATGTAAATCTTTATAAGTTGGAATGAGCAAAAATTGGTCATTGTACAACATACACTCAACTATTGGGTAGTACGGTAAACCACATAAGACGTTCCAAATTATTTCTCTAAATTTCTGACGTAGTACCGTAGAAAAAAACCACAAAGAAGTCAGTTCAGCGGCATTATAAATTT